GCGGAGGCGAATTCGAGGAAGTGAAAGAAAGCGGAGCGGTAATAGGGACATGACGCGGACGTCGTTTCGATTTATCAACCCCGCGACGTGACAAGCAGATAATGCACGCTATTGTCGGCTGCAACAAGTAGAGCGGCGGAGGAAAGAAAAGAATGGGAAGGCCAGAGAGAGAGAAAGAGAGAGAGAGAGAGAGAGAGAGAGAGAGAGAGAGAGAGAGAGAGAGAGAGAGAGCGGCGCGGAGGAGACGGGGAGAAAGCGAGAGACTGCGCAACGAATTTCCCATTCTTCCTACGTGGCGGGTGCCTCACGTGGCCCGCCTTTCAGCGATACACGCGTGCTTCTGTCGCACGCAATTGCGGGGCTCGTTACGTTTGCAATCTGATACATACGCGTAATCATTGGCACGCACGCGGCCACACACGCGCGTACGCGAAATGCGATCGACGACGAGCGAATGACAATGGAAATCCCGATCCGCGCGCGTCACCGCCGTCACCGCGGTCATAATCCGACATCCGACAATGAATCCGAAGCAAGCGACCGATAATCCGGCCAGTGATCGACATGTAGCGTTTGTAGCGATGTAGCTGGCGTGTTTAGGCATTTACAACATTACGGGTATCTTGTGTGTCGCAATAAAACTGGCGCGCGAATATTCTCGCAACGATATAGTGAGAATGTAATATCGAGAAGAAATGTAAAACTTGCGGTAATCAAAAGAAATAACGAGTATAGGAATAATGAGGCTCTCTTCTAGATTCATGTTAATGAGTTTGCAATAATTAATCGATAAACTAATTGCGTGTGCAATACTTCTTAATAAATATCGATTAATGCGGTCTATTTCTTCCCTCAAAGATATCGCCTTTCACCCGTGTTCGGCGCGTTCCCCACTACTCATCATGTTTATCTTACATTTCACGCTCTGTTCGTTTCGTTTCAAAAATTAAATTTATGATTTTTTTAATCAACTTGTATTTTAAAGTTAAGGTATCAATTGTAATCTTAAAGAGGCGCCACACAGCACGTGGACTTGAAACCATAAGTCTCCGCGAGTCCACTGCTGGGTAGAATCGATGGGCCGGTGGGAGATGACACGCGACGCAATTCGGTAATCGACGTAGAAAGTGTCCGAGAGAGAAGAATCGAGCTTTCGCAAGCAGACGTGAAGCAGGCGCGAAATTTCACTGGGTCGCGAAGGCCGCCGCGCGCCGCGAGGAATAAGGTGCCAGCGACGTATTTCCAATATTTTTTCGACGTTCCCCGCTAAGGGCGGGCGGCATCACTCGGCAGTCGGCACGCTGCGCTGTTTGCGGAGACGTGCCCCCACGTCTCGTAAGTACAAGTCTCGCTGGAAACTGACAGGCCATTTGTACGAGGAGATTAGCATGGAAATGGAAGTTCAGTCCGCGGTCCGCGCTCTAATAAGAGATGCTTCCGCGCCGGAGGTATAGACAGCTTGTCGGGACAAAGTTCACTCTTTATGCTATATATCCCCTAAATTGCATTCCGAGAAATAAATACGTTGTTTGTTACGTCGTTAATATAATCCTGCGCGCGCAAGTAGGTCTAGTATAATTATATTTTATTTAATATTCAATATAAATTTAATAAAATTTAATTTTCTACTATAAATTTAATATAAGGATATAATATAATATTTAATATTAATGTAAATAAAAAGTAATAGCAGAAATTTGAAAATGTTTCCTAATTTTCTATGCTAACGACGTCAGAATATCGAATAATGAATAGAATTTTGTAGATTAATGTAAATTTAATTTCTTTCTAAGAGGTATAGTAGGAGTGTGGAATATCAGAAGAAATATAAAAAAATAAACAAATTATATTGAACTTTATATCTTAAATAAAAAGGACTTCCTTCTATTAATTTAAAATAAACTCAAAAAAAATTTTAATAAGATTCTATCAAAGTCAAGATTCAAAAATTTGATGATTGCGAAAAAAATATGCGGGAATTTTACGATAGTATGTATAAAAAGACACAGAGCACTCTTCTTTGAAGAACTTTATGTCTCATACTCGCGCAAAGTAAAATGTAATAATCCAAATCGCGCGCACAATGCGTTTGCACATGTTAGAACGTAAAACACGACCGATACTGCGCCGCGCAGCGAATCGACCACGCACGTACTAAATTCAATATTCACTTTTCGCTTTGTATTCTTCCTCGGTACTCTCTCCTGGGAGAAAAGCGCCGTTTCACGACATCCGCAAACTTGTATGGTTCACCACAAAACAACTCCGCATGCCGCGACTACAGAGTGGCTTCATAAATAATTTATCAGGCCGACATTCGCGGGACCTTTTGCAAGGGGTGCGCTTAATTAAAGAAAAATTCTTTCTCGAGACTCTGTAAACTGAGAGCCTCCCCTTTGAACGCGAATGCATGCTCTGTTACTCGCGCCTTGCGAATCATCAGATATGTAATATATAACTATATAAACGTGTCTAGACACTTGAAAACGTCCATCTGTCTAGCGACCGATTGTCTAGACGTGCTATTGAAACTACGTGCTCTGGCATACATATTTTGGCAATGACGTATTCGCAGAGTGAAATCAATCGGTGCGCCCGACATCAGTCCAAGGTGCGTGTTTGACTTCCCAAACAGAGCGTTGCACAATGTCGCTATCGGTTAATCTCTCGGGTGCTACCTTCATCATCGACGAATTAGGTCGCACTGTGCTGAAATTATGAAAATGAATAAGAGCATGTTGAAGTAAATGATTATGAATCCCTCGATGAAAGTATATGTATAAAGTGACATTGGTATCACACATTAAAATGATTTTAAATTGTGTAAAAAGTAGAAAATGATAAGTAAAATGATCTAAAATTTTGGTAAAATAATTTATTCTTTTGTAGGTACATTAGTATCTTAACTTTTCAGAGATTCTTAATAATAATGCAATAATACGTTCGCAGTAATATTTATTATTCCTATTAGCACAAAAGTTAAGTTTTATCATAGATTTTGTTTTCAAAATAGTCAAAAATATATATAACTTCAATATTTCAAAGAAACATATACAGTTTCCTCGAGATAAGCAAAAATCGAAAATTTTGTATTGCCCATAAATGGAAAAGATAAAAAGATTGGGCGATAATAATCAATCAAGAAAGCTGCGATTGTGTTCCACTCGTACAGTTTTCTACGTGGTTCTATTCGCTTAATCATGCAATTTGTTAATTCGTACGTATAACCGTTCAATCAAAGGCTGAATTTAATTTAACTCCATTTAAAGAAGGGATTTTAATAACGTAGGGCTACATTTCGTCGTTATCAGTAGGACGGGCTAAATTAAAATCAAGGATTTCATCCGATGTCAAAAAACGGACGTCGCTGTCCTCCGAGAGCGCCGATCCGCTCGCTCCTCTCTTATAAGTCTTTCTCCTCCTGATAACGATAATCACGATCGCAAGCGCCACGAAGAGTACGGCCAAAGTTGCACCCACCGCGGCGACGATCTCCAATACTTCGATGCCTCTTCCTTGTTTTACCTTTTCCGGATTCAGTTCCACGTCGTGCAGATCTGTAAATTTTTCTCATCGTCAGTAACAGCAGCCAGTATAATCCTGGCAACAAAAATCTATTGTCGAACTGCCGACATTTTTCATTGTATTCAGAAATCATCAAATTAATCAGATTTCAATATGATTCACACATAGTGTAGTGTGTGAGTAAACATTTTTAAATAATTAAATTGGGTTGTCTCAATACATGCTATTTGTGTTAAAAATTTGCATTTTTTCCTTCTAATTATCAGCCAATAATACTGTACATAATTAGAAAAGAAGGATCAATCGATACTTATTGTTAGACACAGGTATACAATGCATTATAAATCTATAACACAATTTCTCAAAGTTAGTAAGTCTATACTCGAACTTTTCAATTCACTTCGAGATCCTTTTCAAGGGATAGCTTAAACTGGGCCGAAACGTCCTATTGCGATCAGATAATTTTTTAACTTTCTCTGTATATAATGAAACAGATATACCAGATCGATCCTGAAGTTCTATGTATTTCGTCGTCGAAGTTATCTTGGATACAAAAGGCGTCTCCTTCGTTTCCACCTGCTGTGTTGGCTTCGCAGACGTTGTCCTCCGCGACGGTTTTTTAGTTTGAGGCTTGACCGTTGTAGTCGTGGTCGTGGGTTTTTGCGGAGTCGTCGACGTCGTCGACGAGTTGAACATACCTGGATCGATATCATCCTTCGGATTTATAGGAAATCCTGTCAGAGTGGAATTCTTCATCGGTGCAATCGTAGCGTTACTCGGTGACCCCGTAATACTGTCGAGTATCGTGCTGTATCCTGCAATCATAATTGAGATTCTAATTGTAGAAATCTCGCAAAATTACCATAAGCTGGCATCTGTGGCGCTATCGTGATTTTATAATTCAATCAACCGATCGATGGATCCCCCAGTACATCCTGTCGAAACATCTCATTGAGAATCCTGTTAAAATAATAAACAGTTACCTAGTATGCAGTATTCAGCGTAATCTGGGCAGCAAATAGAGCGTTCCGCACAATCGATCGTGCAAACGCACTTCTCCGGTCCAAATGGCGGGGCGGAAGTAACATTGCTTTCCGACGAAACGCATCTGTCTCGACAGGTTTGTTGCGCGTTAATTATTTCAACTTGATCTGGAACAGATTTTTTAGAATAGATGTAGGTATATTTGTGTAGTCTATTTCTCTCTGTACATAAAATTTTTTTTAGACAACATGATATTAATTTTTATACATAGAAATTAACTTATACATATACATTAGATATTAATTTATATGTATAGAGATTAATACATAGAAATTTTATACATAGAAATTAATGTCTGTAATATCAATAATTAATATATATAAATTAACATCACACTACTAAAAAAATAAATATCTGCAAAATTTATTTTAATATTTTTACATCCATATTTTTATCTTGCGCAAGGTAAACGTTGAAATAAAATTGCAATATTTGAAGCCGACGTTTGGACAAATATTGCACATAAAATAAGGAAAATTTAATATATACGTTATTTTTCCAAAATTTCACTAAATAAATCTATATAACGCTTGCTATTATTCTATCACAAGACGTATCTTGAATAAAAATTGATTTACATAAGAACTTACCATCATCGCCTACGGTTACGCTAGTAGACTCGTTTTTAACAACACATTCCTCGCCTTGTAAAATAGCGACATCGTCTATTGCGATATCGCTCACGTAACTAGCACCTCGCACTCCTTCTACAATAATCTATAAGCAAATGTTCCAGAATTTTTTTTTTAATTCAAGATCAATTGAAATTATAATTATCTATTAACAAGACAATCGAATTTGAACATGCGAAATATATAAAAGCTTTGGCAGGAACTTTTTATTTCTTATAACATATTTTAATAACAATGTTTCAATGATCAAAAGCCCAAACTTAATTATTTGAAAAACAATTAAGGTTTGAGATCACGCACGTACCTGAAAGCTGGCATTAGCTTTCGGTAGATCGGATATGCCGTGAAACCACTGATTTCCTTGATTTCCACTTTTGGTGAATATCAATAGGGACGTGCTATTCTCTTGCTTGAAATATATATTCAATGAGCCGATCGTGGCACCATACATATGATACCTATTGAAACAATTCATAAAATATATGTAAGCTTTATATGAAATCGTATACATTATATGTTATATATCTTCATTTTAATATAATATAAGTTCAATGTTGGAATTTTCACAACAGACATGTCGCATTTCTCTCTTTATATATTTTACTTCATTTTACTTCATCTGATTTTATTTTAATAAATTTATGGATAAATATCGTTAAGCGTACATAGAAATGCTTAAAAAAATATTTTACCTACGTTTTAAAAAACTTAATCTATATAAAAATTGAAGCAATGTTATATTTTTATATTACATTACTTACCAGAATGAGAAACATCCCGATTCGGTCAATGAGGAATTGTATAGAGGAGATATGATTCTGGCCGTATCGTTCACCAATCGTCCGGATGCCTCAATATAAAGATAATGCCCTGAAATCAGTGAGTGAGCGAGTAGTGAGTGCGTCACAGTCACAATTATTCGAAAACAAACACAGCCTCTTTCCTCACTAATCTAACATTCCAGTGAAACGTTTAAAAAAGAGTTACACGGAAAATGACGTACCGTCATTGCCAGCTCCTAGCGTATGGTCATGCGTCGGACCAGTACCGATGTGTAAACTCGGTGTCTCGAAGTTGTGGCGTTTCCAATCGAAATCGTGCTGCGGATCTTGTTGCCACCAGCAAAGATCCGGGCTTTCAAAATCGCATTTTGTCGGTGCGGATGCATTCGCGTCTTACCATAGATTATCACAAAAGACGTTGCATTAACACGAATAAAGCTTGTGGCATTGTCATACGAAGAAGAAAAAAAATTGAAGTTGAAATAAAAATAAAATTAATAAAATGAAATTTTTAATTAAAGGTGAAGCAGGGAAAGGAAAAGGCTGAAAAGGGAGAAAAAGAAAAAAAGTAGTTATGTATAAGTTATGCAGTTATGTAAGAATAAATATATTGCATAAATATATATAGAATAAATACATATATATATATATTGCAAATTGAGCAAGCGTGACCTATTAAGCTTTACTTATCAGTAGCAAGAAGTAAGTAATTATGTTTTTTGCGCTGCTAAAAACAATTTTTGTCACAAAATGTATATGTAACTTGATTGCAGAATTCATAGTGCAATTGTTAAGCGAGCGAAGCAGTAATAACGAAATAAAATTAGTTCTCTATTGCGGAGTACTTCGACAGTAAGGAATCGTTCCATTCCATTGGCGTCCGTCGCAATAAATTTCAGCGCTGCCGATCAGGGAGTAACCAGGTTCGCAAAAGAACATTAGTATTGCACCATTAAATTTCTGTGCCATAATCAGGTGATCCGGCGCAGGAGTTGAGGGGCATCCCGTGTCTAACACGATAAGTGTCAAAAAGATAAATCAAATCTATAATATGCAATGTTATCCAATTTAAATAAAGTTTACAAATGTCGCACTTAAAATATATTCGTTCTGTTTGTCCCATCGATAATTCCTTCGCCGCATTAAATCCGAGATTAAAAATCTGATTAAAGTATTGACAGCGCGAGCCATTTTGTACTTTTCCATTATCGCACGTTGCTTTACGCACGCATTTTATCTTAACATATGATATTCTGAAATATTTATCACTATTTAACTTATTCTGAAATATTTAGCACCATTTCGTAGCTCGCGCGCGAACAATCAAAAACGAAACAAAGAGACAATACATTTGTAAGACTTCGCTTCTTCCTCGAAGTTATAAATTTTAATTGCCAGATATTTTTTTTTTAAGAGAACTCGCTGTTCTCTTGCGTCTTTAAATATTAAATTACCGTAGATTAAATTATCCGAGGAAAAACAATATGAAGATATATGCCGTCGCGTTTACATATAAGGCAACATTTTCTGATTAACGATTTTCCCAACGTTCTCACATTAAATTTTACTTACTCACACACACGGGAGCAGGAGTGTCCCACTGGCCACGTACGCACGTGGAATATTTGTTGCCCACAAGAGTGAATCCGTCCAAACAATTAAATCTCACGATTCTACCTCGACCCCGAATGCGAATTCTTCCGTTATTCAGTCGCATCGCGGGACATCGGCCTGTAAGGGAATGATCACTGTTACGAAATGCCATTAAAAGCGCATTAATTTATGAAAACTAAATCAATTCCATGGATTTGGGTCACCATCCGTTCCATGTCCATAGAAATAATTGCAAGTGGAATAGATTTATTTATAAAACTAATATAGCGCCTTTTAATCTAACGAGATTAATAATAATAAAATAAATTAAAGTAAAATCAAATAAAATAAACGTGTTATGACAACTAGGATAAGTTTATAATATTGTCAATCAACTGTAATACTTGTTATCAATTTTTCATTTGTTTTTAAATTGACGTTTTCCCGAATTTGTAAAAGCGATGGCATTTCAATCTCGAGCGCGCGCGCGCATAACAATAGTTTTCCGCGATAAAGTGAATTTCTCTGGCAGACCATCCGTGACCATCGCGAAGAAGTAATTCGATATTGGTTTTACAGAAAAGTATCACGCTGATTGCACGTCGCGGTTTCAACGTCATTCGAATTTCAATCTTTTTTTTTTTTCATCGAAAAATTTTATTTCTGCTTACTCGACAGAGCGAACTGCCAAGAGCGAACGATGGACTGGCCGAAGAAAACGAATAGCAGCAATATCATCGAAGAGCACTTCATCTTCACGCAAGTATGTGAGACGCACATGCATGTACGTAACTCGCGGGAAAACGAGTTAACGGAAGAATCTCCACGGGGTTTTCGATATTCCCCGAGACAATTCGAAAGATCTTTTATTTCCGTTTTATTTCAAGAGCAAACACCGCGGAGCCGCGTCTTTACGTTGGAACAATAACACGGAGTTTACGCGGTTTTTTAAATATTTCCGGCTTCGCGCACCGCTTTACACGATAATCACAATACGCGATCTCGCTACGCGAGAGGAGGATTCCGACGAAAGAAGAAAATTGCTCGAGTTTGCGCCATTAAGCGCGGCGAGAACGAAAATGGAGCCGGCCCGGATTCATCTTTCCATCTGGAGCTTGTACTTCGTCGTAGGGCGGGAACACGGTTTCCGCCTCGCGAGCGATAGCTTTTTTATCGTCTTCCGGTGCTTTATCTTTGTCGCGCGTCGTCCAGGCCTTGAGGAAAATCCCTGGAGATTGCATTTCGCGCGAAACATGTCCGGCGCTAAACTCGATAATCTTGATTCGGAAACTTTTAGATTCGGGCTGTCTGAAATCTACGTGGATTTATCGCTCGGAATCGTGATCTAGAAGCTCCTGGAAAGACTCGAACTTCACGGAGCCCGGATCCATCAGGTTCATTGAAGAAACATCATCTTAATTCCATTTGTTCCGTGATAATTCTTTCCGCCTTAAATCAATTTTTAAATTTCTATTTAACGATGCGAGCTCTTTCATTTTTATCGCACCTCTATATACACTACGCCTAATAATTTCACGAAACATACTCTTTAATAACAAAATTTAATTGTTGCTAATCTTCTGTTATAACCGCTAAATACTAATTTAGTTTTCATCATAGAGATATACAAAGAAAATGTAAAAAAATTAGATACAAAAATTATTCGTTTTTTATATGGCACGATTGATGGATATACAAACAAATACGTCGAAGAGGAATTAAAAATTCAATTTTGCATCTTTATGTAAAATTATTTTTGTAAAAGTTATTTTTATTACAATTCTTGTTATTAGATCAAGAAACGGTTTATGGCTTTCTAAGCAGACACTAATCTGAAGCCTCTTTAGCTCAGTGGTAGAGCACTGGTCTCGTAAACCAGGGGTCGTGAGTTCAAACCTCACAGGAGGCATTTTTTTTTTTTTTTGTTACATCTTGTATATATCGTAAGTATTTTATCTTTCATTATTTAAAAAAAATGCTAAATTGCCAACGCGCGCCATTAATTTTCTGATACCATCTATTTTTCAATAGATTACAATCAAAAACATTTCAAATTTTATATATTTATGTATGCTGTATGCGTGTGCACGCATCTCTTTCTCCGTTAAAATGACAAATTTTATTTTCTTTTAATGTTAAATTTTTATAAATCTTGATTAAAATTTAAGAAAAGTTTTTATTTAATTTAATTTAATTTTAATTAACGCAATTCTTAATTAAATTATAAAAAATTCCTAAAATTTTTAAAGATCTTTTAAAATAAATTAATTAAAATTTAAAAAGACTTGAAACTTTCATGCATTGCGAATTAAAACTCTTTGATATCTATTTCATATTTTTATAAAGGATTAAATATACAAGAGATAAAAAATGAGTAGCAGCCAATAGATAAGATTATATAGAATTCGTCGAAACAAAATTTTCGTTTCGATTTTTGCACAGACACGACCGACCGGTCGACCGGAAACGCCGAGTGATCCCGGAAGTGACGTGGCGTCGATGAGCGTGCGTTCAAAACCTGCCGTTACCTATATATTTTCGAACGTGACCGGTGTCAGCGCCACATGTCAACACATTGTGCCGGCATTGTCCGTCTTGCGCGCGCGAGGAGAGGAGCCGCTTCGTTTCCCATTGTTTTCACGGCGATCCGAGGTTGACGGGCGTTTCGGCGAGATGAACGACGATCTGCCGTACCTGGTGGAGTACGCGAAGAGCGACCGGTCTAAGTGTCAATTATGCAAACAGTCCATCTGCAAGGCTAGCCTGAGGCTCGCCGCCATCGTTCAGGTATGACGTCGAATTTTGCGACGGAGAAGCCCGCGTCGTATCCGAAATAATTATCCTCGCGACTGACGGCGAGCTACGGTTCACGATACGTGAACGCGATTGCACGCGGGCCGGTGTCATCGGCGTTATCATCGAACTATCGATCCTGGGTCATGATAACGCGCGCGACGGTGTCGGTCCGGATAACTGCGTCACCCGCGCGATGCTATCGCTATCACAACACACGTTGAATTATTCAAACATTTGCATGCAGTTGCTTTCTCTCTGCAACCGTTTCCTTATTCGGCTCAGGTTATAAAAAACATATAAACATGTTTCCCGTTATGTTACCTGGAAAGCTAATAAAATGTTCCTTTCCTTACAATTCAACATTGTATTTTCGTTCTTTATTACTCGTTTTAGACAACAATCTAAATAAATGTACTTATAATTGTACAAGTCACACTTTGTATCAAGAGATATTCCAACTTTTTAAACTGTACTTTCAAAATATTAGAAATATTGTTTATATTTTTAGAGCCCCGTTCATGATGGGAAGATACCCAAATGGTATCACACCAAATGCTTCTTCTCAAAACAAAGACCAAAGTCTACCAGTGACATAGCTTGTTTCGATGAGATTCGTAACGAAGATCAAGATACTATTCGGAAGAACCTCGGTTTGTATACTACTTGAGCAGGAACTATAATTTTAATTAATTTATTTTATTACCTCAGCTACTTCTTATATTTGTTATATGCAGAGAAATCTCTTAACGCGCCTCCTGCAGCGAAGGGGAGGAAAAGGACAAAAGGTGCTGGCGGTTCTGGAGACTTCAGAGTTGAATACGCCAAGTCTAGTAAATCCACCTGTAGAGGATGCGAGGAAAAGATAATAAAGGGCGAAACGAGAATATCAAAGAAGGATTATGAGAGCGAGGAAGCTAGGAGGTTTGGCGGTTTGGACAGATGGCATCACGTGGAGTGCTTTGCAAAATTAAGACCGGAAATGGGATATTACGGGAGGGGAGACGAGCTTCCAGGTGCCAAAGAACTCTCGAAGGAAGATCGTGAAAGTCTCAAGGCTGCACTGCCCAAAATGACTGAGGGCGACATACCACCGCCTCCTAAAAAGGTTAAGGACGAGCCGGAAGACGCCGAGGAGGAAAAGTTGATGAAAAAGCAAAATGAAAAATTATACGCTATAAAGGATCAAATATCAACACTTGATAAAAAAGACATGATTGAGATATTGGAACTAAATGATCAGGAGATTCCAACTGGGCTATCAAACGTAAGTGCTTTATTATATATATATATATATACACCTATATATATATTTGTATCGTAACATCCAATAAATATTTTTCTTCAAATTGTGTATCATAAATCTGTTCATTATATGACATTTATTATATAACTTTATTCGGATTTTATTTCTAGATCCTAAGTCTTTTATCTGATATACTGTATTTTGGAGCTCTACAACCCTGTCCAAAATGTGGAGGACAATTTATATACAACTCTGGTTTGGGTTATAAATGCACTGGTAATGCAACAGAATGGACTAAATGCGAATATGTTACGCAAGATCCGAAAAGAAAAAAGTGCGAAATACCAAGTGATTTGAAGGATGATTTCCCAGTTAGGTAAGTTCTCTCGTTAGACAATGTGAAACTTAAACGAATTAATTTCACATTTCTTTGTTTCAACATTGATAAATACGATATAAATATGATGTATTAACACTCGTCATTTGTTCTTAGGTCATACAAGTCTAAGGTACAAAAACGAGTGTTTAAACTAACAGTGCCGTCATCGTCAAGTTCTATTAAGAAGGAGGGAGATGAAACAGATGGTCCGAAAGTACAAGGAAAACCACGTCCTTTGAAGAACATGCAGTTTGTTATAATAGGTCGTACACAGAAAGATAAAGAGGAATTGAAAAAAGAAATTCAATTATTAGGTGGTACTGTTGTAACAAAAATCCATCAAGAATTGGCCGCTGCAATTTCGAATGAAAATGAAGTGAAAAAGATGACTAAAAGAATGGAGGATGTTAAATCGCACGACATTCAAGTAATAACGGAAGATTTTATAGAAGAAGCGAAAGAGTACACAGATGCTCCCATCATGCTCCTAAAAAAGAAAACCATTTCTAGCTGGGGTGGCGACATTGCTGCTAGACTTGGTAACGTCATCGCAAAATCTACTGCCTCCAAGAGTAAGAGCAGGTTTGAGAAGTCGAGTTCTGGTAAAGTGAAGGTAAAGGTAAAAGGAGGTGGAGCTGTTGATCCCGATAGCGGTTTAGAAAATTATGCGCACGTTTATCAAAGAGGCAAAGACAAATACACCGTGACGTTGGGTCTAACGGACATCCAGTCGAAGAAAAACAGTTACTACAAGTTGCAAATTCTGAAACACGACAATCAAGAGAGGTATCACTTGTTTAGAAGTTGGGGCCGGATCGGCACCACAATTGGCGGCAAAAAGTTGGAGGGAATGTCTTTGGAAGAGTGTATAGAACAGTTTGAATCGTTGTACGAGGAAAAGACGGGCAATCAGTGGAAGAATAGAGAGAATTTTGTTAAGATGGCGAAATTTATGTATCCAATTGACATAGATCATGGAGATCAGGAGGTTGCTTCTCTAGATTCGGACATCAAGAGCAACTTGCAGAAACCGATTCAGGATCTGATGCGCCTTATTTTCGACGTAGCCGAGATGAAGAAAGTTCTCCTGGAGTTCGAGATAGACATGGACAAGATGCCGCTCGGGAAATTGTCCAAGAAACAAATTGAGAAAGCTTATGCCGTTCTAACGGAATTGCAAGAGATACTGAAGAAGGCTAATATAGACCGCACTGTATTGATCGATGCTTCCAACAGATTCTATACACTGATACCGCATAACTTTGGGATTTCCGGACCGAAAATTCTCGAAACGTCGGAAGAGATTCAGAGCAAATGCGACATGCTGGACGCGCTGCTCGAGATGGAGATCGCGTACAACCTTTTGTGTGACAAGACCGATGAGAAGGAGAATCCGCTCGACGGTCATTACAAGCAGTTGAAGACGGACATCGACGTGTTGGACAAGACCAGCGAAGAGTTCAAGATGATCGAGCAATACGTCCAGAATACTCACGCGGCTACTCATACGCAGTACGCTCTCGAGATCGAGGATGTGTTCGTCGTCAAGAGACAGGGCGAAGAACAAAGATTCAAGCCCTTCAAGAAATTGCCCAACAGAAAGCTGCTCTGGCACGGGTCCAGGACTACGAATTACGCGGGAATACTGTCTCAGGGTTTGCGTATCGCGCCGCCGGAAGCGCCCGTTACCGGTTACATGTTCGGCAAGGGTATATATTTCGCCGACATGGTGTCGAAGTCCGCGAATTACTGCTGCACCCACAGCAACAGTCCAACCGGTTTGTTGCTGCTTTGCGAGGTCGCCCTGGGTAATATGTACGAGAGATATCAAGCCGACTACATCGAGAAGCTACCGAAAGGGAAGCACTCGACGCTCGGTCGTGGTCAGACGCAACCCGATCCGCAAACCGTCTACAAAACCGAGGACGGCGTTGAAGTGCCCTATGGAAAGGGAGTACCTGCCAATATTAACAAAAATTCGGCATTGTTATACAATGAATACATCGTATATGATGTGGCTCAGGTAAAAGTACGATACATGGTAAGGATGAATTTCAAATACAAATATTAAGATACGTAACACGAAGGTGTGACGTTCAGGTTTAAGGTGCAGTTAAGATTTTTAATCTTGTGAGATTTATACGAATTCCATTTACTATTATTAATTAAAGATGTTACTACATAAATTCCAGTGAAGATTTCGCTAGTGTTACAAATATTGAACTTCATGGAACTGTTTTACTTTCAATGATAATCTTTTGAATTATACGTGTTTTTTGTTGTGTATGCAATTTGTTTCACGAGCACCAAATAAGTGTTTGCTACCTCGAATATTGATTGTAAGGTCATATAATAAATTTTTCACAAAACCAAGCGTTTCTTTATTGTTCTTTATATTAACCTGGAGATAATCACGTTTTTATCTTGCATGAATGATCATCTGGAATGTTTTTTACCTCAATTAGAAGTCACTGTTAATAATTATTGAATATTGTTAATTGTTCTATTTATTAGTACTAAATCATTGTGTATATGTATAGATATGTTCAATTTATTTAAAAAATATATAATAAGGGATTCTCGATCAATAAAGGAATCTGCTGTGACCGATCATTTTCTCGCTGCTAGGAGCCGTAAAAATCACCCCAGAATTAAACGCATCTTTCCTTATGTCATCCTTCGCATTGATTGATGGTTATTATTAAGTTGTCAAATAAATCCTAAACAATTCAATAAGATTTAACAATAACTAAAAGATAATTTGGAGGATAATAATTATTTTTACAATAACTAAATGTAACAATAAATTGTTTATGCTGTCCATTTTGTCTCGTAAAATATCAACTAACAACCGATATTTCCTAATAAATAAAATCATGATTTTTTTATTTTGTATGTAAAAATATCAACATAAAGTTATCGATAGTTTCAAATATTTTATTGCTATCTCGAAAGCTTCATTGCGAATTCTCTCCATATAAATAGGAATACATATATGTACATACATATATACATATGTCCATGATTCTCTTGTCAACACACCAGCCTTGAGCCAGCCATGATGCGTGAGCATTTACTACAGGGAGGTGTTGTGATGTGCATTGTGCACTTTCATGTTCGTCCCATTGATGTATGAACTTCGTTATCACGCGCGTAATTGTGATGCGTGATGCGTTGTGACTTAAAAAGAATCGTGACAAGTCAAGATTGGTGACAAAATAGCGTCGAGCAATTCCTGATTCCTGCGCGCGCGTTCAAAACAACGCGCAACAACATTTCGGAGCGTCAAGATCTCGTCGATCTATCAGTGAAAACCTCGAGAGCCGCGAAAATGTTGCAGCAAGAGCCGACGGCGTACGATCTGGCGTATCGCGGCAGAACCGCGGCAGTGAAGATCCTGCTGAGCGAGAACGAGAGGCTGAAGACGCAAACGGACAGCGTTAGTATCCGCGCCGCTTTCGTGCTCGTCCGTTTTGAGGTTATATCACGCATTCTCTGATTCTCTCCTTGCAGAACGGCCGAATGTTGATACACTGGGCGGCGCTGGGCGGCCACGACGACCTGGTCAGGCATTTGCTGTCCCTCGACGTACCGGTGGATCCCACCGACGACGTAAGAAATCGCCACGCATCGCAATGCCAATTAGTAGCGTGATGTAAACAAACGGGAGATGTGCTCTTCGTAGCAGCACTACGTTACACCTTTTGCACTTGAAACGACATGGGTATATGAAATTAGATATAGGAAAGAGAATAAGGGAAGATGGAAAGAATTTAATTACAAATGTGTAATATTGCGCATAATAGCGATAACATTGTAACAGACGAGTAAAGAAACTGATCAAAGCCCTCATCTACGGGGTCAATAATGTTTAACAGATTTATATAGCTTGCCTTTTAAAATTTCGGAAAAAATCTCCGATCGGTTGCTGCAAAAGAGTGCGTGTTTACGGGAATATTAGGGTCGATCAGACAAATTTGCATAATATAATCATATGCATAAAGTAAATTATCCAATTGCATTTTACGCGCGTCATCATCAGCCGTTGCGCGCAATGAAATCTCGACGGTACGATCGCGCGAAGCGCGACCGGCGACCGAATCTCTCGCCAGTCGGAACAGATTTTTCCTCGTTTTAATTGAGTTTTCTCGAAATTTCAGTTCTTTCCTTCATTTTTTCTTTATATCTCAAAAAACATGCCTGTTTCAAGATGTAATCGCCACGCGGTAATTTCGTATGCGGCAATTCCGAATTCAGAGCGACGCGCGACGCAACGAACGCAACATACATGCCGGATTTCTAACAAATTAATTTTCGGCGTATAAGATTAAAGATGCAAAAATAGCCGGCTGTCAGCTGTTCGTTGAAATTTCGATGAGATTTTATGGATTGCACGAAAATTTAAACGAGATGACTTAAACAAGATGGTGAATTCTTACATATATTCTCCTAAAAAAGTTGCTACAAATGTATATTTAATTTTTCGGATGTATTAAATGCGTTACAACAGTATCTCTTTACCATATACTATTAATTAAAAATGCTGTTATCGTCTGAAATTATATCGATCCATGATTGTTGAAACCGTTGCCGAGCCGTATTATTGTCTAATTACAATTCACAGTTATACTTAAAGATTCATTATTTTGAAATCTGTTTCGGAGGTATTTTTAAAATTCTCTCCGGGATTATGTGTGAGTATTACGCGAAACGCGCTTATGTTCAGGTCAGCTGTATTTTTGTATCTCAAAATATCATCTATCCTTTCAATAAAATTATAATTCTTGCGTGCTACGCACTGGCCGTTAAGCTCTCGTAGCTTCAAACAAGATTCTACACAGACCATATACTGGTAACACAAATAAATAGTACAATCATGTACATTCCTTTTTCCTGAAAAATATCTCGTTCTTTATAAAAATACTTCAAAATACGTATTGTTAGTAGCAGTCAGCGGTACAGTTGAATTTCAATGAATCGTAGACCTACTTACTTAAAACGTCCTTTAAATCATAATTTGAAAAAATCTAACGAATAATAGCTTGAGTTAACTTTAACATGATATCAAGCGGAATCTTACATTATTCCATCGAGCTATTCCATCCCTCGTTCCGAGAAGCCTATCGAGAGAAAGATGGAGATCTTAATAATATACAACACTTGAGGACGTATAATTATATTATAATTTTTCCAAAGATCATTTATAAGAAAAAAAAACTTATATAAGAAAATAAGTATAAAGCGAAAATGCGTCCAAAATGCATCGCACGTTACGTTACATTTGTTTTTGTATCCTGTTCTCTTTCTCTCTCTCTCTCTCTCTCTCACACACGCACGCACACACACATACACACACACATGCGTAACGCACGTCGCATAATCACCGCGAGACTTTCATCCCGTTCGTTGCGTCGGCTAAATCCTCGTACGAAATCAAACGTTAAATCGCGCGTCTAAATCATGCAGACAAACATGACTCCGCTGATCCTGGCGGCGTCCGCCGGCCGCGAGAAGGTCGTTAACACGCTGCTGACCGAAGGCGCGAACGTGAACGCGACGACGGTCGACGGTCACTCGGCGTTGCAGTACGCCGCGTCTAAGAACTGGAAGTCCATCTGCGTGGCGTTGCTCGAGAAGAATGCGGACGTGAACATCGCGGACAAACGGGGTGCCACGCCTCTTCACAGATCCGCCTCGAAGGGCAACACCGGCATCGTCGAGCTCCTCATGGAGTGCGGGAAGAAATTGAACATCGGTAAGCGGAGTGTCTGTGTGTCTCTCTCTCTCCTTCTCTCTCTGTGTGTGTGTGGGTTATTGAAATGCAGCTCTCTTATTACAGTATAATAATATATAAAATATCAAATATAATCTATATATATATATCTATATATATCTATATATAAATATTTCCGATTATAACTTAGAGAAGTACAAAGGTTCGCTCGCTCTCCCATCGACACGCAATTTCGCGCATTACGTTTCATGCTGTCTCGTTTCTCAGATCAGAGAGACGCGTATGGTAACACGCCGTTGCATCTCGCTTGCGAGGAGAACCGCGTGGAAGAAGCAAAACTGCTGACGGCGCACGGCGCGGACTTGACGATCACCAACCGGGAGCGCAAGACACCGTTGGATCTCGCGAGTCTCGGATTGGCCCGACAGCTCGAGGAAATCAAGCGGGGGACTGCGTCAAAGTGAAATGCTCCCTCGCGCGAATTTTTCGTACGAGAGATTTATTTTTACGCGATTTAAGTTTCATTAAATAAGTCTCCAATAAATTTATTCATGATTAAGAGTTTCCTTTTCCAAATTTTATTTTACCCTTTCTCACTCTCTCTCTCTCTCTCTCTCTTTCTCTCACACCCTCCTTTTCTTACACATATATGTAAAATGCGGTCAACGTTTGCGTTCATTCTATATAAAATGTATCAAAAGTCCTCTATTCGATTATTCTCGTTATCTTTTTCGCTGCTTCGCCTCTCTTGGCTCTTTCTTTCGGATCGTCGGCACCTTATCGGTTAATCGAATTCTCTCGAGACGAGCGATAATCTTAAGGCCGGAAACGCCATGGGACATTGTCGAAACGACTTTTGATTTTAATCGTGGAGCTGGTCTCGTACTCGCGACACGAGACGTCAGTTTAGTCCGCGTGACGCGCCGAATCGAACAAAAAAAAAGCCAACACCCTCTCGACGCACGTATGTACATAATTCACAGAGGTTCGAGAGCACATTGGGCTGACTCCGATACTCAATTGGCATTCTCCTCGCCGTCGATGCTCTCGTCCTGCGTCGTCGAATCGTCACCCGAGCCGCCGGTTTGTACGGAACCGCGTTTCAGCCTCGTGGAGCTCAGACTTATCGGAGGACCACCGCGCCTTTAAACAGATCAGATTACATTAATTAGGCGATGTGTCTCATTGTTGAAAGATATGTGCATAAATAATACGAAAAAAATTATATACACTATCAGTCAGTAGTTTAAATATATTTTTCTCTTCTTTCGGATTAAACAATCCCCTATTGAAGTTTAATGTTATATTTAAGTACTCAACATTAGATATCAAATAATGATACTGTGAAACAAGTAAAAAACTTTTCTATGTATTATCAATGAAAAATATACGGATTATACCTACATAAATTTATATTTAAATCTTTGTGATGGCTAATAGCAAGTAAGGGGTTTTAAATGAGAATACTGTTATATATATTAAACCGGAAAAGTCGATTTTCTAGACAGTTGCATTGTCAAACTATCGACCGATAGTGCGTACTGCAAATCAAATAATCAAAACATATGGAGAAAGAAAAAAAAAAACACATTCACAAACAACTGCATACAAGGGGATGCCGGGGGTTGAAGTATGTCATTATCACACAAGGTAGCAGTCCAAGTTGGCATTATTATTTTCAGGGTTAGCGGTTTCAAATTAACCAAAAGAGCTCGTTTAACTCACTGTAGCACACTGGGGACACTAATGGGATTGTTTCCTAGCAAAAAACTCTCTCAGGTAGGATACCAATCGTTTTTTCTCTCTTGACACCTACACATGTCATGTCAGAAGTTGATCACTTCCTTCAAAGATAAAACACTACTTTAATACTGCCTCATTACGTTCGCCTAAGGTTACAGATACGTATGGCCTAAAAAGTGCAACATAAAATAATACATATGTAAATCATCCAAAGGAATAGTATCCTCTCGTTATTTAATATCCTCCGAATTAAAACTCTTTACCCCCGATACCTTTCAATATTTTCAAGACCTTTTGATATTTAAACGATATTTTTATCGCTTCCATATTTATATGTGCGTGTATGTGAGAGAGAATAAAGATGAAATTACCTTAATTTATTCTTTAGATGCGTCAATTCTCGCGTGAGCTCTTCGTGAGATTCTATCATGTCGTCCATCTCTCTCTGGGCTTTCCGCTTCATGGTCTTATGCCTACTGATCTCCTCCTCCGCTTCGTCCAATTGTCTCTTCAACGCCTTCATTCTGGCATTGACTTTCTCCGCCTGTTCTTTATACTGATCGGAGTTTCGTCTCTCATCCTCCAACTGTAGGCTTAGTTCTTTCAATTTCTTCTCCAGCTTGCGATTGATCTTCTGCTGGGCGAATCTCTCCTTGGCTTCGGTCTCGAGTTGCTCATCGAGATTGTTGATCTTCGATTCCAGTTGCTGTATCGTAGCCTTGGTCTTGGCACGTTGCGCGGTTTCCAGTTCGGTCAATTTGGCCTTGAGCTCCTTGTTCTGTCTCTCCAACAACATCTTGTGCGATTCCAACTTTTGCGTGGTGGATCGCTCAGTCGCTAAGTCCGTTGCACACTGCTCGTACATCATCTGGCTTTTTCTGGCGCGATCATTCACGATCTCGGCATTCGACTGCTCCTCTTCCAGTTCTTCCTCCAGAGTGGCAATTCTTGCCTCCAGTCTACGTTTCTCATCTAACATCAAAGTGCCTTTGTTGGCGTTGTTATTGACCTCTTCTTGCAGCTCATCCCTCTCATTCTCGGCGGTTCTTCTGGCGCGTTCGCTGCTGGCAAAGTCCTCGGTCAATTGCAACACATCAGCTTCTAAGCTCTTAACTTTTCTCTCGGTTTCCTTCGAGGCAGCCGCCAGTTCATCTCTAGCAGCTCTGGCTTCCTCCGTCTCTCTAGTGCAATCCTTGATTTGAGCTTGAAGTTTCTTTAGTTGTTTGAGCGCGTCTTCCTTCACCTTGTTATGCATCTCCAACTGTTGTTCGATGTCCTTGTAATCCGCCTCCATTTTTTTACGTGCTGCGATGGCCGCGGCACGCTGTTTTCTCTCATCTTCAAGCTCCGCCTCGAGGTCACGAAGCTGCTTCACTAATCCCCGACGTTTCTCTTCCGCCTGTTCTTCCTTGGTCTGGAGATCACGCTCGAACTGAGCTCGTAACGCCTGCATGTTTACTTCCAATCGCAGCTTAGCATCTTCCGTGAATTGCAACTCGTCTTCCAATTCTTCTACCTGCGACTTCTGCTCTTGCAGCTGCGACTCTAATGAACGCTTTGCCTTCTCCAACTCGTGAACATTCTTGTCAGCAGTACCTTGGTTATTAACCAATTCGTCCAGTTCCGATTGTAGGCCTCTACGGCCCCGTTCAAGTTCCTCAACTTTCTCATTAAGCTCGTCCAATTCGCGAGTCAATGATAACACTCTTGTCTCCTTTTCGCGCGCTTCTCTCTCCGCGGCGTCCCGTTGTTCCGCATACTGCTCGGACACGGCCTTCTCCTCGGCCAGTACTTTGTCGAAGTTCTTCTGTTTCTTTTCCAACTCGAGTACCTTCGCTCGCTGCACCTCCAGCTCGATGATACTGTCCTCCAGTTCCGCCTGGATTTTCTTCTTCGATTTGTCTAACTTGTCGTTGGCTGCCTGCAACTCCTCAACTTGTCGCTGGAGACCTTCAATGTCCTTCGTGCAACGTTTCCTGGCCTCCTCGAGAGCGGCGGCCGCCTCTGCTTCATCGTCAGCACGTTTCTTGGCTTCGGCCAATTGTACATTCAGACTCAGCACTTGCTTGTCCAAGGCACGTTTCGCTTCCTCTTCCTCCTCAAGTTGATCATGCAAGCTTTCTTTCTCACTTTCTAACGCGCGCAACTTCGAGCTAAGGGCCAGTTTTTGCCGAGTTTCTTCTTCCAATTGCTGTTGAAGCTCGGTAAACTGGGATTCGCAGGTGGCCGACGCCTTCAATGCCGCAGACGCTTTCAGTTCGGCGGTTTCTAATTGCTGCATCACACTTTCCGCCTCTTGTTGCAGTTTCGTCACTTTCTCGGCTAATTCTTGTTTATTTCGTTCTACCTCGACCAATTTTGCGTTTATTTCCACCAACTGCTGCTCCGCTTGCTTACGACGACGATCAGACTCTTGTCTGCTTGCGCTGACCGATCTGAGTTCTGTAGCCAGATCGGCGTTTTCGGCCTCTAGAGATCCTTTGGCCTTCTCTAGAACCGCCTTCGTTTTCTTCAACGCGTCCATCTGTTCGTTCAGAGCGGTCAATTCTTGCGTATGCTTGTGACGCATATCGGCGAGCGTGGCTTCATGCAACGATGTTTCCTCTTCGAGATTCTTCTTCAACGTCGCGAGTTCTTGTTCTCGTTTGCTTCTCAACTCCTGTTGAGCCGCGGTAGTATCTAGAGAATCGAGCAATTCGTTTTTCAACGCCTCGAGTTCCTCATTCAAATCGCGCTTCTGTTTCTCCGCTTTGCCCCTAGCCACCTTTTCAGCTTCCAAATCTTCCTGAAGTTCAGCTAATTGTGATTCTAATTCTCTAAGCGCTTTTTGAGCCTGGGCTTTAGAGGCACCTTCTTCATCCATTTTTGCCATGACTTGATTGAGCTCTTCTTCGCGTTTGCCAAGTTGAAGCTGCATTTCCTCAACTTGCGTTTTCCTCTCGGCCAATTGCTCCTTCAAGTCTGATACCTCGGTCTCAACTTTCCTCTTGGATCTATCCACCTCCTGTCGTTGCTGATGATCTCTGAGGAGCCTCTCCTCGAGATCGGCAATCGTTGCTTCATGCTTAGCTTTCAATTTCGACAAATGCTTTGCCTTCTCCTCTTCCTCGGCCAAAGTTTGTGAAAGATCATTGGCACGTTCCTCGAGAATCTTTTTCTCTTTCAGTAATTTTTGATTGGTATCTTCTGAAAGAGCGAGATCTTCCTCTAATTTCTTAATCTTTGCGTCACATTGGACCTTTTCCAATTGCAGTTTTTGTCTAGCAGCTTCCTCCTCTTCTAGTTGCTCTTCCAGATCACTGATGTTCAACTGTAACTTCTTCTTCTCTTGGGTCAACGCGGCACTTCTTTCTTCTTCCTCCTCAATACGCGCTTCCAAATCGTGCAAAATTTCCTCCAGCTCTTGCTTTCTCGCAGCCAACCTGGCTCTCATCTCTTCGGCTTCCGCGCAAAGCTCGACCTCCGCCTGCAATTGCTCAGCCAGCATAGTCTTTTCTTCGATCGCCTGTTGATATTTGCGCTCGTATTCCTGAGCCGAGTGCAGCTGTAACTCCAGCTTATCGCGAACCTGCTTCAGTTCATCTTCCTTCTGCGTGAGTTTCTCCTCTTGCTTGGTAACCTCCAGCAGAGGCTTCACTTTGGTGTACAACCGCCACCATTGCCAGTTGCGCAACTTCAGGTAGGCCGCACAGTTTCTCTGAATGATACGGATTGCATTAAGCTGCTGCAGACGTTTTTGATAATTACGCCTGGCCAAGAAACCGCGACAAAAGGCCTGGAAATTGACGATTATGTCCGTGATCTTGTAGTCCCTCTCC